TCTGACCACTGTGTGATGGAGAGGGTGCTGATCATTGTCTATGATGGATAACAGTTTATTCAGCGTTCTCCTCTCCACCACGGACTCAAAAGACTCCATTTGCCATCACTGTGTGTGAAAGGACGAATGTGGCATTTAGTATAAAAGTGCTTTGAGTGGTCGGAAGAAAGGCGCTATACAAGTACAGTCCATTACCATTTACTTCTCACCGCCACAAATTTCTTGAGCACTGCTCTTAGCAACTGCCTCAGTCCAATTCCATGTCCCCAGCCAGCGAGAGGGTTGGGTCTTGAAGACCTTGCAGACAGGAAACTACATTAGGTATTTCCAGGTCAATCTCATTCCATTTCTGGGCCTACCCATGTCTGTCTGGTAACCCATCTTCGCCTGGCCTCCATCTGGCCCCTTCTCTGGGACCAATTAGCCTTAGATGTCTCTTCTAGGGAGTTCTTGGGAAGGAAGGTGCTTTATTGATTAAAATGCAATTTCATTTATTTGAGATGACAAAAGTATGTTTACAGGCATCCATACTGGTATATGGATACCCTAGTGGCTGGCAGACCTCACATTGATAACACCAGCTTAGAGCATTTCACCACAGTGGCAACAGGGAGGTAGAATGAGTAGACAAACTGTATTTCAACAGTACGAGGTAGGCGTAAACTCCACAGTAGGTGAATATCTGCTGCAGATAACATAGTAATTGTTCTGCTGGTTAAAATTTTTTAATTCACTTTGTTTTTCTTCTAGACAAGGCAGAGGGCTCAGGGGCCTCAGTGCCAGTCTTAAAGCCATGTCTTCGGACAACAGCAAAGTTCTCCTTACACCACGCCTCGCCAGGCGGCTGGCCGCTGTCGCTTCGACCACTTCATCTCCTGGGCAGTCGCGGAGCCCCTCGGAGTCTCCGTCCAAGGAGCCCCTGTCTAGGGAGGGTGGGAGAGAGGAGAAGGAGCTGGACAGAGAGGGCCTCCAGGTGCCATCTGAGCAGAGCCTGCCACCCTGCACGCCTCCGACCCGCTCGCCCAGCATCAGTGCCTCTTCATCATCGTCGTCATCGTCATCGCCTGCCCTGGAGCCAGCTGGTGAGCTGCGCAGGGAGCCCATGAACATCTACAACCTCAACGCCATCATTAGAGACCAGGTAGAACACACTTGATCAGTGGCAATGGATTTCCCTTTCTGCTTTCCTTCCTATCGACTTTTCAGATCTGCATTATAATTCCTCTCCTTCCTTCCTGTTCATTTACCCTCCCTCCTTTTGGCTGAATTCCTCATCATCTTCCACTTTCAACCAATTGAGAACTTACCTTCTGCTCTTGCGTTTCCTCTTAAGCACCTTCAAAATGAAGTGGACCTTCTTTATCCTCTCATCTCCTCTTGTGTTCACCTCCTATCTTCTCCGCCTCTCTCCTTTTTCTCCCCCAGGTGAAGCACCTCCAGCGGGCGGTAGACAGGTCTCTGCAGCTGTCCAGACAAAGAGCTGCGGCCAGGGAACTAGCCCCTCTCCTGGACAAGGACAAGGAGAGCTGCATGGAGGAGATCCTGAAGCTCAAGTCTCTGCTCAGCACCAAGAGAGAGCAAATAGCCACCCTCAGACTGGTGCTCAAGGCTAACAAACAGGTGAGGCATGTGAGGTATTCATGTTATTTTGGACTGTGTAATTCGAATGATGTGGCAATGTTTTGGGTATTGGTTAACAATGCCTCTAGGGAATGAGTCCAGCAGTTTATAGACCAACTGTTTACTGGCCTATGCTTCCCTAAGACACATCAACCAATACGGCTGATTGAAGGACACACTTGGCCAAACCTTTACCCCTTTGCTATTAGTTTATATTGCCTGTTTTATGTAGTATGGCCCAAGTTATGTGTGCATCAGTGACAGTGATACTACAGAGGCTACAACTAACATTATCCACTGAAAGTATGTCTGTCCATTTGTTAAAAAGAAATGACAAGAGTTGCAGGAATGAGTCCTAAAACCACCTCATCTCAAAGTCAATGGATTTTCTGAATGGGTTTTTGGTTAACACAAGTTTAAGACATGTTTTGTTCTATGACATAAAACAAATCAGTAAATACCCCATCTGTGAATTCTGAAGTCTTAAAAAAGGCAGTTGCTAGCAAGAAACATGTATCATAAACATTTGTTTGCCACAGAGCTTACTTTCTGCAGTAATCCAAAATTAGTTAATTGAAGGAACCGGAATGATGCTAACTTCTAAAACACAGAAAACTGAATTTACGATCCGTTTGTGTGTTCATCTAGACGGCAGAGGGGGCTCTGGCCAACCTGAAGAGTAAGTATGAGGCGGAGAAGTCCATGGTGACTGACACCATGATGAAGCTGAGGAACGAGCTGAAGGCCCTGAAAGAGGATGCTGCCACGTTCTCCTCTCTGCGGGCCATGTTTGCAACCAGGTCAGAGACAAAACAGGAGCAACTGAGGTCCACTACTCAGTTGTTTTTTACCTTAACAATGACAATGTGAAATATATTTCTTTGCAAGGATGAAGCCACAGAGCAGTTGCCCCCCGGTCTACTTTGGACCGGCCCAAAAATCAATTAATATACCTTTAAAGTTACAATATCAAGACTTCTGCAGTTATATTCAAGAAGACACACAACAGTTTTAGTTTTCATATCAGTCCTTTCATTTCTCAATGTATCAATATAAGTTACATTTTCTCTCAGTCCAACAATCGATAAAAGGAGTAGGTTGACATTTTGGGAAATGAGCTTATTCACTTTTATGGCTGAGAGTTAGATGAGAAGATTGATACCGCTTGTATCTGCTATTTTTCAACCCTCTTTCAACCTGCTTAAACTTGCTCTGTTCAGGTGTGACGAGTACGTGACCCAGTTGGATGAGATGCAGAGGCAGCTGGCTGCAGCGGAGGATGAGAAGAAGACTCTGAACTCCCTCCTGCGGATGGCCATCCAGCAGAAACTGGCCCTCACCCAGCGCCTAGAGGATTTGGCCTTCGATCAAGAGCAGACCCACCGCACCCGCGGGAGCAGGCTGACCCGCAGGAAGACCAGCACCCCCAAAGTAAGTCCCCCGGCCTCCACTTCGGCCTCCAACCTAGCCCAAGACTCCACTTCATCTTTGGCCCCCGTCAGCATCACCCTTTCAGGCCTTACTAGTCCTACGTCAATGCTTCCCGATGATCCCACTGCGCCCCTTAGCCCCTCTGTGGTCAGTGCAGCTGCTGCAGCTCTGGCCTCAGCTCTCACCTCTCCTACATCACATGTACCCCCTCGCAGTCCATCATCCCCAGCGGTTGCCTCATTAGCTGGCCCTCCAGCACCAGAGAGCCCCCCAACTCTGGAGGCCCCCTCCTCTCACTTGGTGCGGACCCCGCCCTCAACCCCTCTGAGGCTGGCTCACTCCCAGTGGACCCTGGGGCTGCGAACGTTTGTGGTTGACTCCCACAGTTTCAGTGTCAACATCTCCCCCGCCCTGCCCCGTAGCTCTGGCCTCTCCAGGCCCTACACCCCAGACTCTCATGCCTCTCCCCCTTCCACCTCCACCACCACCACCAGGCACTCCCAGCCAGGATCTGCCCCCTCCTCTCCCTACCGTTCCCCTACTGTGGGGCTCAGGCGCTCCACGTGGAGCCCCTCACTCCGAACTCGGCCCTTGTCCACCCTTACACGCTCTTCTGTCCTCCACCCTCCTTACTCCTCCTCCCACTCCCCTTCTTCCTCCCACAGTTATTCCCCTACCTACTATAGCTCCTCTCCTGCTTTTACCCCCTCTAGCTCCTACCTCACCTCTGGCACCTCCACCTCCTTCAGCCACTCCACTCACTACACCCCCCTCTACCCCAGATACTTCAGTTCTTATCGGCCCCGGCACTGATGTCCTACCGTAAGTCCTTTACTAGAAGCCCTTTGAAGGCTTTTCCACCAGGCTCCTTATTGACACCAAAACTGCAACTCTCATCATCCGTCTCTTTTTGTCACCTGAGAGAGTGTGGGCTCACAGAGAGGAGGACAGAGTGGTTTCCTGTTTCCCAGTTCCTGTTTTCCTGTGCCTAAGCTTTGGCCAATGGGTTCTGAATGTTCAGTGACTTTGCTCAGGGATTTGACATAAGGAGCACAAGCGGCCCCGCCTTCCTTTTATTCTGGGGCTGCTGATTGGTCTACAGGAGGATGTTAATAGAGACTTTTTAATGAGAGTTTTTAGCATTTAGGTTCTTCAGGTTGAGACCACACATGCATGGAAGTGATTAAATCACAAAGACATTCAGACACTGACTGGACACTTGGCGGACGCTTTCATAGGTTTGAATGAGGGCCATGACACATTAAATACTGTCCTCTATATTCAATGTAATATCCACTCTGTTTTAAATGGTAGTGAGTCTCATATACTGTATACACAAACAGTGTAAACCACATGTCTTTCAGTGCAAGCATTCTCCTTTTTTGATGAGGTACTTGGATGCTTAAGGGTTCAGTATGATTCAAACTAACATTTGAAAAGGTCAACCGCTGTGCCCATGGCAATTTGGTATGCTTGTTGGATTTTTGGTTTTGAAAAGTTAGGAAAACTGTTGCAAGCAGGCCCTTAAATTCCAGCGTTGGAAGGGTATGAGGGGTGTTTGAGAGGGTCTTCGGCTTTCCAACAAGAACTAAGTTTGAAGCATACTGACTTCTTTAGTGTTTTAGCTTTGATTACACTCTATAATCTATCTCTCACACGCACTTGTATGATGAGACAGCTGTGGACAAGGACTGATGAACTATGGTCATTGGTACGCGCTGTATATTTTCAGCCACACTGTCACACTTTCCAAAAGGAAACCATCAGTGCACCTCAATGAGTATCCTTCATCTCTTGTCCAGGGTTGTTGCCATCAGCAGCTCAACCTTAAGCAACTTTTGTCCATCTCTAGCACCACCCAGTGGTTTGTTCTTATATAGCCATGTACACAGCTATGCATGTTCACGTTTGGATGCTCTTATACTGCAGATTTCCTTCCCCATCCACATGAGAAATTGATCTGATAGAGGTGCAGGCTGTATGGAATGTCGTGTCAGGAAGAACTTATGAGAAGGAGGAAGGGAGGTGGAGAGCACTCAAACATGGCATATGACCAGTGTAGGATTAACTAAATACCATAGTCTAGTCATTGTACAAAGAAGCAACATGACTTGGAGTTATTTCTGGGATGTGTCTCAATAGTCTGAAGTTGTTTTCTCCTAGTTTTTATTTGAACCTACTTTAAGTATATCAACTATTTAAAAGCCCTGCTAAAATAAAAAAATCTCCCCCAGAAACCTGACAATTAAAAAGAACACGTCAAATTCCTCAACATATCACCTATTAGTTACAGCAGGGTGCAAGAGTTAGCAACACACTGGAGGGGATTAATCTCACAATAATTTGTAAATTACTTCATTTGGTCCAAATTCAGTTTCCACGCAAGTTAAGACCCCTTGTGCAAATCGGCCTCTTTCTAATTCTTTGCTCATTTTTAAACCCTAAACCAGACTGTTGTCTCTCGCTATTCCTATTAGCTTACTACAGATGACTTATTTGTTATTCAAAATAAATTCAGAATCCAGCAATTTTGTAACCACGTGCTGAAATTAGGGAATTTACTCAACAAACAGGTGATTCAAGAAAGTACAACCACATGACCACATGACTTAGTATCTTTATATCCACACAGTGGTAATTCAAGACTATTCTGACTCACCATCATGCTGACTTTAGAGTTGGTAAACTCACAACGTAGCACCCTATTGTGCCTCTGAGGCCATCTGCAGAGGTTCGTCCTGTAACACGGAAGGAATGTATTCAGGTTATGTGAAGGCTTGTTCACGGCACTGCACCAAACTCAGGGAAAGTGACGCACCTCATTCAACCTGGAATGAGTCAACAACCAAACCAGAATGACTACTGACATAACAATAATGTTTTGACTGAGAGAGAAGATCTCCTAAATTAAATTTGAGATAAGTCCTAGTCAAGTTAAAGGAAGGAATTCTGAAATTGTAAGAAATTTGCTTCTTACCCAGACTCACACGAGAAGACAGATATCAATTTCATCTGACCAGTGCAGAGATAGGCCTGGGGTTTGTGTAGCCTAGCTTACATAGCAAAAATGGTCTGGCCAATTGGCGGTCCACAGAGCCCCCATACACTCGGCACAAAGGCGACAATGAATTACTGTTCACTGGTGGTCCAGATCTGGCCCATGACATAGCCATACCTCAGCCAACTGTATAACCATAGCTGGCCCTATTCTGGCCCTATGTTGGACCAGACAAGTTTAAAGTTTTTGTTTGTTTTTGGCAATGGTGTTTTAGGTATTTCCGCTATACACTAGCTGTCAGAAATTCCTGATATATTTGACACAGAATTAGAACTAAGACAGTCGTGAATGTTTTTTCCCCACTCTGTCCATAATTATGGTCTGCGCGATATGGACCATTAATCTGAATACACCTTCCAGGAACTCTTCTGTTTACCCATCATATGTGATTAGCTAGTAAGCTGTAGTCACCAGTACATCCAAACCTGCACTGGAATCACAATTGATGGTGATCTTCTCATTTGACTGGAGTTGACAGCAAACAAATTTCTTAAAATTCTTTTTTGATGTGATTTGAACTGTTGGCTAATATCATATCTGAGATCCTACCAGTTCAGCACACATGAGACCATATTCCCTGTGTCTGTGTGTGCCTTACAAAGCCTATTATACAATACCTACACAGTGTAGCCTAATAACAATGCCTGTCTGGAATTCTTTTTAAAATGTGCTTCCTTCAATTTTTATTTCCACACCTGCACCTCAGGCTAAACTGCTGGTTTTGTGTGTATTTGTTTTTGGCTTGGATTTTCTTTCAGTTGGGTGGAAACTGACTCATCAAAGTCAGATAATACTTGTTACTGGTAGTAGATATTTTTTGTCTGAGTGCTGTCCAGAATACTTACTTGGCAAATACTTGCTCATGTCCCTTTCAGCTTTTCTCCAAAGTACACCGTCCCTTTTTCCACTTTTGCATCGTTGGATGGAACCTTTAATCTCTACTTTCCTGTTTCTTTCCTTATCTATTAATTATGGCTGTCTGCTGTCTATTGACATTTGTCTAACACTGTAAATGGGTGCACCTTCTTGACGACAACACACAAGTTTTTCAATATGCAACATGGGGCAAAAACTCATTTGACAGCACCTTTATTTTCTAGATTTCTAATTGGCTCCTTTGAAAGTAGTCTTTGCCCTGATGGGCTCACATATTGCATTCTCTTTTTTTCTACTGTAAACAATCTAGTTTGATCTAGTTAGTTCTGTATGCTACCACTTGCTCAATGATTTCATTCACTAAGTCCCTCCCTGATCTTTAAATCTTTACTGCACTCACAGTCAGCACTAAAGCTGATCAATTTCTTTGAAGCCAGGCCTGGATGTAATTTGAATCAGATAATTAACAGGAAATTTTCATAACTTAACTTATGGGACCACACCAGTGGTCCTTGTTTACACAATTTAGTACAAATTGCATATTTTACTGTGACTCTTTTCTGAAGAATGTATGGTTTCAGATTTTTTTATGATTTTCTTCCCTCTAAACTATCAGCCTCTATTTCACACTGTGTGAAAATTATCATAACTGATTAACAAAAACAGTTACTTGAAACTTCCTAGCCCTGATCTACAAGTGCCATACTACATAATGGTATACATAGGTATATAATCTCTGTCTCCTGGAAACATGGCAGTTATTGAGCAGCTCCTAAACGTATTAAGGGAAATATGTTAAAAATAACAAGCTATTTCATCGTAGGAAATATCGTCAGCCACCTATAAGGTGTGAAACAATGTCAGGCAGGTGCAATAAAAAAAGAAATATGTGATTTACCTTGAACAATAAAGGTCTACCTTTCGGCAATATGGTTGTCGCCATGTTGGTTTTTTACAGCAAGTAGCAGTGACGTACTGCAAGATGAGCTGCTCTCCTTGGCTGCTATTAGTTTCGAAAATGGCCGCTCGCCTGGTCACATACCATCTCGTATTCCAGATAAACAGTACACTAAAATATGTTTGTGAAAAGATTTGAGGCAAGAAATGTTCAATGCAGTGACAGAATCTTGATTCATAAGTTTGGATCATCACTGCCTAGGTTTACAGGTTTAGATCTGAGTTTGGTGCGTTGAGCTGGACAGACTTACTGAGAATGACTTGTCAATTACAAGGTAGCCACGCCCTTAAGCAAACCTGCTTTATTGTCTGTTTGGGACCATCATTTACTAAATGAACATCATGCTGTATGGAAAAAAGACTGAAACTAGAGATTGAGACCATAAACTCATTAGGAAACTGTTTACTGAGACAATAAATCAAGTCAGAAGTCAGTCAGAAAAAGAATTTTTTTCCTTTGCAGCCCTTGGAGCTGCCCCCGCTGGCTATCAGAAAGAATGCAGACTTCTGCATTGGCTTCACTTCCTTCACTTTAGATCCAGAAGTTCTGTCCACTAATTTTATACTGTCAATGTCACTGACTGGAGAGCTTCTCAGCAGCAGTGTGTTCAGTGCTGCCACTAGTGGCTGGAAGTAATTTTATAGCAATTCCCATAAATAATATAGTTCCCCAGTATAAATAGAGACCTTTCTCAGTCGTGGGTAAATCCTGTTTTTTTTGTGTGACTTAAATAGTTTTTTCCCTTTATATAGGCAATGTGGTGAGTTTATTTATAGCTTTTTCAAATATTACAAGCTGCTTAGTACCTGAAATTACCCTGTTCCAAGAGACAGTGATGAAGGACATCATGTCACAATTAATTTCTTGTCAGTTACATTTATGCTCTGTGGTAATGCAAAACACTTTAAGTTGATGTTTAAAACAGTAGTAAACAAATAATGATCTGGGAAGCAGGGAAAACATTTTAAAATGTAAAATACCACAGTGAGATTTTGAAAATTGTCAGCAGTAATGTTGATGAGTTTTATTTGGCTAGATCATGGTCCCTTAATAACCACTCATAACATACCCCTCAGCCATGTGAAATTGGTCCCAAACCATCAATGCTTTATGAAAAAGATCTGATGTATTTGTTGTTTGAGATATTGTTAATCCAGTTGAAAAGCTTTTGGTACATATCTTAGTGTCTGCTGTTATTGTGTCAGCTAGTCAGCAATACTGCAAGGTTATCACTCAGACAGACTAATATTTTCTATATTATGGTATATTTACTCAAATGGACATCCAAGATTTTATTAGTTGAGGAAAAGTTGAGA